GAAATACAGCCGACAACATATAAAAAATGTTCACAAACTCCAGATCAGAAATCTCTAATCTAGGACAACACCATAAGTTAATGGATGAGGAAAATGAAACACAGAGAACTGAAGGGATCTGTCTGAGACATCACACATGGCAAGTTGCAGAGCCAGGATTCAAGCCCAGGGTCTATAGTAGATCCTGTCATTAAATTAATTGACTCACAATTATCTTTAAAGTCTCTTCCAGCTCTAGTATTTTGTTAATTCATTCTGATTTCCTTGCAACATCCTTATAAAGTATGATTATAAGTATTATCCACATTTTACAGATGAGAAAATGGAGACAGGTGAAATGATTGATGAAAAGTCAAGCACCTACAAAGTCAGGTATGAATCGATTTGGTCCCACGTCTTCAGAGGCTAAGAGCAAGGCTCTTTCGACTATACCACGTATCCATATAGCAATCAGTTTGCTCCAAACAGTCTGGTTTGCTTCTGTGTACACTATCCACACCAAACCTTCCCCACTCCCCTGAAATACTCCCTTGTAACTGAAATGTTCAGTTTGCCAGTCATGTAGACATGTCTATTGTCTCACTCAAGTGACTATTTCCTTGAGGACAGGGATTAAATATTCTCTAAAAAGTCAGCTCTCAATTAAGTACTCTGATGGAGAAGAGCAGTGATGCAGCTAATCCAAAACACTGAATAATTCAAACATGACTTCTACTTGACTATGGAGTGTATTATTTCTTTTTGCATGTTTTTCTTCCTAATTATACTTATCTGAGAAAATATCAACATTAGGTTACATTTCCCTGAACACTTCTCAAATGATGATGGTGGGGGTAAGTTGGAAGAATGTGAACCAGATTAATGGTAGCTAAGAATGGGGGAAATAACTTGCAGATAATCCAGAAGGAAAACTATTAAATGATTATTGGATTAGATTGTATTGACTTGATCCATAGAGGTTTCCACTTTCCTCACTTGCTCTGGAAGGAAGAGATGGTCTTAGCCACTCCATCACCCTTTCAACATCCTTCCTTAAGTTGTCTACACTCTAAGGCTCACTCAGTGATTAGTGAGTCCCTTCAAGGAATCTATCCCTTCCTCCCTCCCTGAGATAGCAAGCAATCAGATATAGGTTACACATGTGCAATCAAGTAAAACATTTCCATATTAGTCATTTTGTACAAGAAGACTTGTACACAAGAAAAAAAGAAAGCAAAAAATAGCAAGCTTCAATTTTTATTCAAACAATATCAGCTCTTTCTCTGGAGGCAGATAGTATGCTTCATCATTAGTCTTTTGGGACTTTCTTGGATCATTATATTACCTAGAATGGCTAAGTCATTCACAGCTGATTACAACATTCTCCTGGTTCTGTTCATTTCACTTTGCATCAGTTCATGTAAGTATTTCCAGGTTTTCATGAAATCACCCTGCTTGTCATTTCTTATAGCACAATGATATTCCATTATAATCATATGCCACAGCTTGTTTAGCCATTCCCCAATTGATGAACATACCTTTGATTTCCAATTCTTAGCCATCACAAAAAGAGCTGCTATAAAGTTTTTTGTACATGTAGGTCCTTCCTACCCACCTTTTTTGGATGTCTTTGAGATATAGACATACTAGTGGTATTGCTGGATCAAAGAGTATGCACAGTTTGATTGTTCTTTGAGCATAGCTTCAAATTGCTCTTCAGAATGGCTGGATCACTTTGCAACTCTGCTAATGGTGCGTTAGTGTCCCAGTTTTTCTCATATTCCCTCCAATATCCAACATTTTCCTTTTTTGTCATATTAGCCAATCTGATAGTTGTGAGGTGGTACTGCAGAGTTGTTTTAATTTGCATTTCTCTAATCAATAGTGATTTAGAGCATTTTTTCATACGACTATAGATAGCTTGGATTTCTGTTTGAAAAGTACCTGTTCATTTCCTTTATTATTTATTAATAGGGAATGACTTCAATTTTAATAAATTTCTCTCTGTTCTTTCTATGTTTGAAAAATGAAGCCTTTATCACAGATGCTTGTTGCAAACATTTTCCCCAGTTTTCTGCTTTCCTTATACTTTTGATTACATTTATTCTGACTGTGAAAAAACTTTTTTAATTTTATATAATCAAAATTGTTTACTTTATATTTTGTAATGTTCTCTGTATCTTCTTTGGTCATAAATTCTTCCCTTATCCATAGATCTGACAGATAAACTATTTTCCATTGCCCATTATTGAATTTATTTTTATTGCATTGAGATCTGAAAAGGATGCATTCTTTATTTTTGCTTTTCTGCATTTGATTATTACTTTTTATGCTGTAATACATGGTCAGTGTTGGTATAGGAGCCATGCACTGCTGAGAAAAATGGATATGCCTTTCTATTCCCATTCAATTTTCTCCCAAAATCTATCAATCTAACTTTTCCAAAATATTACTAACCTCCTTAACTTCTTTCTTATGTATTTTTTGCTTAAATTTATCTAGTTCTGGGAGGGGAAAGTTGAGGTCCCTCACTAGTATAGCCTTCTGCATCTTATTCAGCTTCTTCAAAAATTGGGATACTATACTATTTGGTACATATATGTTTAATATTGATATTACTTCATTGTCTATGTTACTTTTCAAAAAGATATAGTTTCCTTCCTTATCTCTTTTATTTAGATCTGATTTTGCTTTTGCTTTCTGTGAGATCAGGATTGCTACCCCTGCTTTCTTTGCTTCAGCTGAAGCAAAATAGATTCTGCTCCAGCCCCTTACCTTTACCCTGTGTGTGTCTCTGTTTCAAATGTATTTCTTGTAAACAACATATTGTAGGATTCTGTTTTTTACTCCATTCTGCTATCTGCTTCTGTTTTATGGGTAAGTTCATCCCATTCACATTTATAGTTATGATAACTGACTGTGTATTTACCTCCATGCTATTTCCCTTCATTTATCTCCCTTTCTGTCTTACCCCTATCTTTTCCCTCTTAGTAAGTATTTTACTTCTGATTAACACTTCCCCAATCTGCTCTCCTTTTTATTAGTGCCCTCGTCTTCTATTATCTCCCTCTTTTTTTTTTACTTCCTTATAGGGAATGATAGATTTCTGTATCCAGCTGAGTGTACGTGTTGTTTCCTCTTTGAGCCAATTCTGATGAGAGTAAGGCTCAAGCTTTGCCCACTCCACCCCACCCCCATCTTCCTCTCCATTTTAATAGCTCTTTCAAACCTCTTTTATGTGGGATAATTTGCCTCATTCTATCCCACCTTCTTTTTCCAGTAAAATCTTCTTTTTCACCTTTTTATTTTTTTAAGGCATCATCCCATCAAAATCACATTGTATCCACAACCACTGTCTATGTATACTCCTAATTGCCCTTACAGTAATGAATTTCTTAACTTAGCTTGCCATATAGAAATATAAATTTAACCTCATTGAATTTCTTTTTTTTTTCTTTCTTATTTGTTTTTTACCTTTTTAGTGTTTCCCTTGAGTCTTATATTTGGAGGTAATTTTTTTCCCCTCTTTTTCAGCTGCAGTTTAATTAGGAATACTTGAAAGTCCCCTATTCTAGGGCAGCTAGGTGGCACAGTGGATACAGCACCAGCTCTGGAGTCAGGAGGACTTGAGTTCAAATCTGGTTTCAGACACACGACATTCACTAGCTTAGTGACTCTGGGCAAGTCACTTAACCCCAATTGCCTCACCAAAAAAAAAAAAAGGACTCCATTTCATTAAATATCTTCCCTCCCCCTGAAAGATTATATTCAGTTTTGCTGGATAAGTGATTGTTGGTTATAATCCTAACTCCTTTGCCTTCCAGTATATCACATTCTGAGTCCTGAGGTTTTTTATTTTATTTTATTTTATTTTTTTTTAATATGGAAGCTACCAAATCCTGGGTAATCTGGATTTGTAGCTCCACAATATTTGAATTGTTTCTTTTTGGCTGCCTGCAGTACTTTCTTCTCCATCTGTGAGCTCTGGAATTTAGTTGTAATGTTCCTGGGAGTTTTCATTTTGGGATCTCTTCTAGGTGGTGATAATCTTTCAGCTTCTATTTTTCCCTCTGGTTCTAGTATATCAGGTGAGTTTTCCTTGATAATTTCTTGAAAGATGTTTTCCAGGCCTTTTTTTTTTTTCCATCATGGCTTTCAGGTAGTCCAATAATTCTTAAATTATCTATCTTGTATCTATTTTCTATGCCAGTTTTTTTTTTCTTCAATGAGAATTTCACAATTTATCCTATTTTTTAAAATTGTTTTAGCATATCTTGATGTCTCATGGAATCATTAGCTTCCACTTAGTCAATTCTAATTCTTAAGGAATTAGTTTCTTCAATAAGCTTTTGTACTTTCTTTTCCATTTGACAAATTCTATTTTTAAAGGAGTTATTTTCTTATTTAAATATATTTTTCCATGCTGTTGACTGGTTTCATGATTCTCTTGCAATGCTCTCATTTCTTTTCCCAATTTTTCTTCTACTTCTCTAAATTGCTTTTTAAAATCCTTTTTAAGTTCTTTCAGAATTTCTTCTTGGCCCTGAGACCAAATTACATTTTTCTTTGAAGTTTCACATGTAACCATTTTGACACTATTGTCCTTCTGAGTTAATGCTTTGATCCTCTCTGTCACCATAGTAACTTTCTATAGTCAAGTTCTTTTGTTGTTCTTCTTCTTCAATTTTTTTTTTGGTGTTTTTTATATGAGAGGTGGGCTCTGGTCCTGCATTGTCCCAAGTTTTTTGTGTGCTGGGGCTCAGGTTCTTATTTCCGGATTTCACTGGGATTCAGGAACTTGGGGCTCCCTGTTGACCTTCCCAAGGTATGTTTCTCTGCTGGCCTGCCTCAGGCACAGCTGGGTTGCCATGAAAACAGCCTTTCTGCTAGTTGTCCCTGGAGGAAGTATCTTGTTGTTAGTCAATCCCAGGGGTGAGGCCCCAGTGCTGGGTTGCTATGGAAACACAGCCTCTCTGGGAGAGGGCCCCAGGGGAAGTGTCTTTCAGTTGGCCTGCCCTGGGGTGGAGCCTGACTACTGGTCAGCAAAGGAGTCAAGTCCTGATTGGTAGCATGCGCTGGGGGTAGGTTCTCTAGGGTGGGGCCTTGCTATGCTACAGAAACTGCTGGCTTACCTAGCGGGGCTGCTGGTTTGCAGGAGGGCAGGTCTTCCTTAGGGGATTTCCTCAGGCTCAGAGCCCTGCCGCAGGCCCCTCTGGCTGCTTCTTCCCTCCAACCTTGTTACCCTTCCACCTCAGTGAGACAGACCTTTCCTGGTAAGCTGCTTCTCGCTCCTAAATCAGTTTTGTGGTGGTTTTCAAGTGTTTTTGGAGGGGAATTTGGGGGGGTGGGTTTCAGAGTGTTCCTTCCTCACTCAACCATCTTGGTACTGGAAGTCTCCATATCCAACTCTTAGTGACCCTATTTGGGGTTTTCCTGGCAAAGATACTGGAGTGGTTTGCCATTTCCTTCTCCAACTCATTTTACAGATGAGGAAACTGAGACAAACAGGGTTAAATGATTTGCCCGAGGTCACATACCTAAGTTTCTGAGTCTGGATTTGAATACAGGAAGTTAAGCCTTCCTGACTCCAAGCCCAGCATTCTATCCACTATCCACCTAGCTGCCCACTCCCTCTACACTTCAAGCCTATCCCACCTCTGACCTGCCCGCTTGAGGATGATGATAACCTTCTTGAATTCATTCCCCAATGACTAACATCCCCAACTACTCATACCCTTCCTAGACCAATGATTCTGAACCCCTGCCTGTCATTGAACAAACCCCAGTTCCTCCCTTCTACAAGTCCCCTATTCTGTCTTCCCTCAGTCCAAGCCTCCCCCTAAGCCCACATCCAATCTAAAGCTACCTATGACTTCTGCTGTACTCTCTGAAATGCCTCCTGCATAGGTAACACATTTACTTTGTCTTAAACCTTTTTTTCTTTTACTTTCTTATTCTTTCTATCTTCTTGCACTTACTGAGAATTGGCTGCCTTCAAATGACACACCTCCCCCAGCCACTCTTTGCAATTCCCAGTCCCTCAACTTACAATATTTGCTGTTCACTCCCTTAATTGTATCATCTTTCACAAATACTTTGCTTGCATTTTCATTTCCATCAACTCAAATCTCTGCATCTGACCATATTCTGTTGGTATCCCACCTTTGCCTGGTCTTTCATCCCTTTGCTTTATTCATTATCCTCACCACGACTTCCAAACCACTAACCCCTTAGTTCTTTCCCAGGCCATTTCCCCTTCACCAGCCACATTCTCCTAGGTTCCCCATCTGAATACATTTGTAAATTTTCCTATTGCAGATCTTGTTCTTCCCAATCTCAGCCTTGCATTATCCCCACATCTGTTACCTTCCCTCCTATTTGCCTGCTACAGAACAAAGCTCGAGAAGATCATGAAGCCATGCTGATTGGGTCCATTACAAATTTATGTTACATCATTTCAAATGGGCCTTCATTATGGCAAAGCAATACTTTTATACTTCTCTAGTCAGTTCACTCTCCCACTCACCACCTGACTTTTCCAAACCTTTGAGGCAGTTAGGCAATGCAGTATACAGAATACTAGACCTGGAGTCAGGAAGACCTAATTTCAAATCTGGCCTCAGAAGCTTAGTAGCTGTGGGACTCTGAGCAAGTCATTTAACCTCTAATTCAGTTTCTTCCCCCAAATGAGGATAATAGCATCATCAACAACATCAAAAGGTTGTGGTGAGGTTAAGAGGAGATAAAGTTTGTGAAGCATTTGGCAAATCTCAAAGCTCCATATAAATGCTAGTTATTTCTAGCTCCTCAAGCCCTGCCATCCTCCTCTCCATCACCTGTACAGCTGAGAAATGGGGTTTATATTTTACTGGAAAAAATGGAGGCCATTCAACAAGAGGTCCCTTTCCTCCCCTCCTCCTCATCCCACATTACCCAGATGACTTCTGACACTATCTCTTCCTTCATCCTTGTCTGACATGAAGAGTTTGCCAAGGCAAATCTCTGTGAGCATGTACAAGTGACCTCATTCCACCTTATCTTTTCTGGCACGTTGCCCCCTCTGTTACCTCTAAGCTTTCAATCTCTCCACATCCACCGCCTGCTTCCTTACCATCCACAAAGAGGGCCACGTCTTTCCTACTATCAAAAACCTTCACTTGATCAATTTATCCATTCTAGTTATCCTAAATCTCACTTCCCTTTCAAGGCTAAATTCCTTGAGAATGCCTTTTACAATTAATTTTTTCATTTCCTTCCTTCTCACTCTTTTCTGAACTCTGAAGCCTGGTTCCCAAATTTATCATTCAACTGAAACTGCTCTCTCCAAAGTTTTCAAAGATGCCTTAATTGCCAGCCTAATTCATTTTTTCTCGTGGGTTGCCATAATCTAAGGGGAAAAAAAAGTGCTGGCCACATTCTTGGCCCCTTCTCTCTTACCTAGGTTAGTATTATGAAAAAATAAGCAAAGAGGACATTGCAGACATCCACTCTATAGCTTTCCAGATTGGAAAATATGCTGGTGCTTCCATTCTGTTGACATAGCCATCCATAACACAAAATTACCATCAGTCCATCTTACGGCATTGGAATCGGATTTAGCCATAAGGCCAGCACAAAAAGACTCAGTTTTGCCAATTATCATTCTTAGGCAAGCTGTATTACCTGTCTGAGTTGGGATGAAATAATCTCTGAGTGCCTTAGTATCTCTAAAATTTAGTTATCCTGCATCAAGAATATTATTTAGCATTACCATTGATTGAGTGCAGACATATTCCAAAGCTATCTATTGAGCACTATGCTTTCAATGAAGAATATTCATTAGTCTTGGTTTGGATTATGTACCTTCCATCTTGTGGAAAACAATTAATTTAAAAAAAAATAATATTTAAAAAAGCAATATACCTTATGTGTTATCTGAATGATTTGATTATTTTTTTCCCTAGCTACAGTTAATCTTGATCACAGTCTCACTTTCTCTGTGCAATCCCACTACCTATTGTAACATATTTACTCTCCCCTTCTGTGGTGGAACTCCTAGAGGAGGCCATTGGCAATGGGTACATCTTCCTTTCCTCTCACTATCTTCACTCTCTGCCGAATGACCTGTGACTTCACCATTTGATCAAAACTACTCTATCCAAATTTGCCAGTCATCTCTTGATAGCTAAATCTATCAGCCTACTTTCAATTCCCACCTTTCTTGATCTTTCTGAAGCCTTTGACACTGGATCACCCTCTTCTCCATGATACCCTCTTTTCCCTAAGTATCCCTGACATTATTCTTTCCTACATAACTATGTGCTTCTCTCAGGGATTTATTTGGGGTCCTCTTCTCTTCTCCATCTACATTATTTCACCTGGTGATCTCATCAGCTCTCTTGGATTTAATTAGCATCTCTCTATTCCAATGATTCTCAGCTCTCTTTATCTAGTGGTAGACTGTCTCCTAACCTCCAGACTCAAATCTCCAACTGTCTATTAGACATCTCAATCTGAATATCCCGTAGACATCTAAAACTCAGCATTTCCAAAACTAAGCTCATTATCTTTCCCAACAAATGTTCCCCTTTTCCAAACTTCCCTATTGCTTTCAAAGGCATCACTATCCTCCTAGTCACCTATAGTTGAAAACTAAATGTCATCCTCAACTCCTCCATATTCAAACTATATCCAAGTCCTGTCCATCTTACCTCCATAACTAGTTCTAGTATATACTCCTTTCTCTCCTCTGACACTGTGACCACCCTGCTGTAGGCCCTCCTCACTTCATGCCTTACCTATTGCTGTAGTCTGCTGCTTGCTCTGTCTGACTCAAGTCTTTGCCCACTGCAGTCCATTTTTCACTGAGCTGACAAATCAATCTTCTTAAAATGAAGAGCTGAAAATCTCTTGCCCTCTCTCTCTCTCTCTCTCTCTCTCTCTCTCTCTCTCTCTCTCTCTCTCTCTCTCTCTTTCTCTTTCTCTCTCTCTCTCTCTCTCTCTCTCTCTCTCTCTCTCTCTCTCTCTCTCTCTCACACACACACACACACACACACACACACACACACACGCCCCAATTCAATAAAAATCCAGCAGCTCTTTATCACCTCCAGGATCAAATATTAAATTATTGCTTTACCATTAGAAGCCCTACAGAACCTTCCTCCTCATCTTCTACTTTGTAATGTTCTTACACTTGACTCCTTCCACTCCATGTACACTGACCCAGTGACACTGGCCGCCATGCTGTTCCTTACACGTGGCAAAACCTGATATCTTCACTATAGACATTTTCTGTGGCTATTCTTCCATGACTGGGATATTTTCCTTCTTCTTCTCTATCTCCTGGCTTCATGTGAGTCCAAAATTAAATTCCACAATCTACAAGAACCCTTTCCTGATCTCCCGTAATGTTAATTCTTTTTATCTCTGATAAACTCCAATTTATCCTGTAGATAGCTTATTTGAAAATACTTGTTTTCATGCTTTCTTTCCCATTACACTGTGAACTCCTTGAGAGCAGGGACTGTCTTTTGCCTTTCTTTGTACTCCTAGAGCTTAGCATAGTGCCTGACACATAATAGGTCCTCAATAAGTGCTTATTAACTGGGTGCTCCCCATCCATTCCCCTTGTCCTTAAGATATATTTGTGTTTGTCATTGTTTATATTCATACTTACTATGCAAAGAAAAAAGTCATTTTCATATTATGCAAAGATATGCATAGCACATAGCAAAAAGGTACCATTAAAAAATTCTCAATTTCCTAGCTTTCGCTATTGCCAGGAAATATGGTATTTTAAATGAATATGAAAAAATATTTTACACAATTTTAGCTAATTGCATAATTTTAATAAACAAATTCTGGTCAGCCTAATTGAGTGTCTCATCAACTCTTTTTCATTAAGAATTCATAAATAGTTAGAAAAACTAAAAAAAACCTCCACCAATTTCTATAGTCATATTGATTTTCCAGAGTCAATAAATATAACCAAAGTGATCACATTTTGAATGGGAAAAATACATTGAAATACATTTAAAAAATAACAGGTTCTTTAAAAAAGACTTCTCTTTATAAATCTTTCCAGTACATTTTAAAATATTCTAACAGATACTACTCTACTTGGAGGATGGCTTGGCTCAAGGTAATACATTATAGTTGTATACAGGCTTTGGAAACACGGAAAACATTTCAGGCTCCCTCCATGGTTACAAAAGACAACAAAACATCTTCAAAACCTGTTTCATGTATATATACATTTTTTAGGGTAACAGTCCTCATGTCTTTAAAGCAG